GCCGGAGCTCAGCAGAGCGGCACAGCAGGCGCCACACCAGAGGCATAGGTTTCTTCATTGATGTCGTCAAGGCCCGGGTCGAACGATTGCTGTTTCGCATTAAGGACGGTTTAGGATGGGTTCAAAGCGTTGTCGGAGTTGCTAGTGTGTGGGTCGATAAAGCGCATGCTGTACAGGTCGGAGGTGCGTGTAGACGTGGGAGGCAGCTACAACAAACTAGACGTGCGCACCTCAGAAATACTCACACCAGCATACCCCGTCATCATAAGCCACGCGCCATCTTTTCTGTCCTAAACGGCATACAATGTTTAGCAGCACGTGCTGTCCTAATGGGGCCAGACGAGCACGCAAAAGGACCTCCGATTCACCAGGTTTATACTAGGTCAGTTACTAGGTGGAGTTGAAGGAGTACATTCCTGATTGCGCCATCTGCAGCTGAGAGTCTCGGGTCAGCCTGCAGCCAGGTCCTGCAGATGGCCCAGCGCCTCGAATGCACAGCACAGAAGAACATCCTCTTCCGGGCCATTGGCAATCAGCTGATGCCCTCCTAAACTCCTTAAATTTTAAGCCCGCCTCCTGGAGCTCCGCAGACAGTGGAGCCTCGGCTGCGAAAGGGCGACCGGCCACGTCCTGCAAAGCGACCTCGGCTTGGGGCAGCCTTGCGGGTGCCCTGGGGTGGCGGTGGCGGCCTATAGAGGGCCAAGGCTGCACGGAGAAAAAAGGGCTTGAATTTTCCTATGTTGCACTTTCTCAACACATGCCCGTCCTAGAAGCCTGCGATGCTTCACGCACAACGATTCACTGATGGCCAGGGCACCTGACGACAGTGTAGGAATAGGCGGGGGCACCAGGATGGATCGAAGCCTCAGTGCAGAAGCTTGGCGAATGGCAGCTCTTTAGCTGTGATCGCTTTGTATTCGCATAAGACCGTCTTTGGCCAAAACAGAGTGTCCCTGCACATGGAGGCTTCCGATGGCATCTAAAGGGGCCTGGGCTCTTGGGCAAAGCCACGCATGGACACACGCACGCAATTATTCCCATTTGCATTGGAAAGAACTGCAAAAGGTTCGGCGCAGCTTATCATACGCGGTGAAAGCATGACATCTTCACAGGTGCAGGGTGTCGAAGCAACTGCAACTCACGAAGCAAGGAAGCATCATGGACAGCCTGGCAATGCCCGGACAGCTTTGTGTCCTTGCATGGTTTGGCTCGTTAGAGCCTTTGGGTCCCACGTGCCACTGCACCGTAGCCGTCCGCATGGACAAGTACGATATGTCGAGTCAAGAACAAGCCTCTTTAAGCCGGATTCCCAAAGTAGCGTCTCGATTCCGATTCTGAAGTCTGGGTGTCTGGGTGTCTGATCGTCTGAGCGTCGGGTTGTCCGCAGAGCGTCTTCTGGGTGTGCGAATTGAGGATCGAATCAAAATCCCAAAAGAATTCGGGGAAATCCTAAACTCATCGAGGCTACCTGAACGTCCCGATCCCACTGGACCTCGCTGAAAGGCATAGCTGAGATTTGGGGCTTAGAAGTTTCGGGTCTATTGCCTTCCTTGCCACCTGCATAGCTGGACGAACCACTCGGCAGAAACAACCTTTGACAAACAAAAAAACCACCAACCCCTCTGCCCTCAAAAAAGCTTTCAACAAATAAGCTTCTAAGAGAACTAGAAGACACAAGGCGATCCACATGTCCGAGCCCCGTTGCACAAGGTGAGGGCGGGTTCGTTTTGCAAGGCATTGCGAGATCTTTCGCTGAGGGTTACAACGTTGCAGCTGACACATCTTGAATAGGCCCCCGAGTGTTGCTGCGCACCCCCGCCCCGTGGCCACTACTCATGGTTTTCGGACACCTTAGAGACCGCGGTCGTTTTTTGATCCACCTGAAGACTTGAGAGCTTGATTGGTAAACGGCAACTCTCACGCGCTCTGACGAGCTGGCTCTCGCGACTTCTCATCGCAAGGGAATGGTGGAAGAGCAAAGCGTGTTTCAGTTCAGACAAAACTAAACGTAGCAAAATGACTTTATGATAGAGAATGAACAGCAAATCCAAAACATACATAATGCTTGGCCAAAGTTTATCAGAAGCCGCAGAATCTCCTCCATCACTGCGTCCGCCAATTCCTAAAGCCGAACCTTTCATGCCACCTTACATGCATTCTAGCATCATTTGACAATAACGAAGTTTGCTGCTACTGACTGAACTTTAATGTGCGTGAAGCTCATGAACATGCAGGTTAGATGAAAACAAGTGAAGCTCTTATTGGCAACGATCAAGGTAGGCTGTAAGGGGGCTTGAAGGCTTGAAGGGCCAAAATGCGGATTCCCTCCATGTTTCTCATAAACTGCAGCTGGAAGCCTCCATAGGTGCGGTCGCATAGGATCGGGCGCCCGATGCCCGCAAAGTGCGCGCGGATTTGGTGGGTCCGCCCGGTCTGCCTAGGCTTCAGGATGCTTCAAGCACCTTCAAGCACCTAGGGATGAAACTGTTGCGGGACTGTTGTGGGCCCAAACGCAAGTCGTTTTGGCAGGGCGGCGGCTCTGCTTGCACCAGCATCAAGGTCTGCAGAGGCAGCGTGAAGGTGCGAAGCACCTTGTAAACGGTGCGTGCCTCCGCAAGGCATTCAGGCCAGTGCATTGTATGTTGGAATCTCACGGAATCTCAATGGCACGATGGCTGGCCTCCTTCCCTGCTGATGACCAGACAGACTTCATGGCCTAAGATTCCCGGCTCCAGTCTCTTTTGAGATGCAGGGCGCAAACTGCATCAGGAGGAGTGGACAGGCGCCCACAAAGAACAAAAGCAGCGCTCCCAAATAAAATCCCAAGCCACAGATTGTTCAGTGGAAGGGCCGCTGACCAGGGGCGCAACCTCATGGACCACCCTCTGCCCATCGTCATCCCTTCAAGTTTATGGGGAACTGCGGCAAACTTTCCACCACTTGATACAGACCGGCGTTGTGCAGCACCAATGGTACGTCGCATGAGCACAGACTGAACCTGGGAAGCTCCGACACCCTTTTGTTGCCAGTCCGGACCCAGGCTTTGCCATGGATTCTGATGAAGCCCTGAACCTATCATGCGCTCTTCAAGGCAGATTACGCATTTCGCATGCTTTCCTCCATGCGGGAAGCTCCGGCACCCACCAACTTTTACATCGGGGCGGGCGGGAAAGTTCCACTAAACTTGTGAATGCTTGCGCTGTGCACTGCGCCATGGCAACCTTTGCAAGGACGCCACTTCGCGCGCCATGCGAGCTGATCCCTAAGACTCTCCGGACATCGCGGGCTACGCAGTGCGCCATGAACAAAACACTGCAAACACCTACGTGCCCTGACACCTGCAATCTCGTAGAGTTGTATGGCGCCATCACTGCCAATAACTCTTTCTGCCGCATACCGCACCTACCAAATCGCACATCCAAAAACAAGGATCCATCTCTTTGCCACTCTGAGCCGCAATGGTGCCTTGCACGCCATCTGGCAGAGGCTTCCCCGAGCACAGGAGGAGGTACTTCTTCCTAACCTTCGGGACTTCGCTCGGCTTGCAGGGTTTCCATCTGTACGCATCTGGTTTTCTGCCTCTTGAGATCGCTTGCGGTTGAGCCGTGGGCAGCGAGCCTACCCGCTTCAATCCATGACAAAATCTGCTACTTAAGCGGCATTGTGATCGAACTCTGAGCCTAACGTTCCTTGCCCCTTTCCATCCCTTCCCAGCTGCACCTTTCGCGCAGCAAACTGCAGCTGGTACCAACTGGTCACGCCTCGAACTGCCGGTGCTAGCATTGGAGCAGGTGCAAGAAAAATGCAGTTGTGCGAGGTTCTCTTGATTTAGTTGCTACGGCGCAAGCTCCTCTACGGTGTTCCTAGGCATCTGCTAACTCGAATCTGGAATCCTGAGCTTCTGAAACTCAAGTGCCCTGGTTTGGGTTTCGCATTGCCATGAGAGTCTTGGGGCCTCCTCTGCTAAGCGTCTAACCGTCCTGCGAAGCCCCCTTAACCGTGCATGAAGCCGTTTGCTACAATGTTACAACTTTCCTGCGGCACCTGAGCCGCACGGGGCCAAGGCCACGGGGAGCACGCCAGAGGTCTGCGCATCCAGGCGGGAGAGCCTCATGATCTGGGTGCTGAGGCCTTGCTTCGCCCGCCACCTTCCGTGGGGCAGTGTGGGTCGTTTTGCTTTGGGGTGTATTTCAGTGGAGGGTCTGTAGTCTGTAGGGTTGAGGCTCCAGCAACTGTCCAGTAACTTGCTCGTGCCCGCCCAAGCCTTGACACCAACTGCATCACCTTAATCTTCGCGTCGAATCAGAATGGACGGTTTCTCTAGACAAGCTGACGTGTAGGTGTCTTAGGGTGGTAAGTGAAGAGTCCATCGATAAAGCTCTGAGGCAACACGAAGCTTAGACACATCAAATAAAGGCTCTTCTTGCAGCCCAGCGCTGCCACCGTGTCGCTGCAATCCCCCTTCCTCTACATCCGAGCCGCAGCCTCTGAGGTGATCCTTAACTTGGTTAACTAGAGTCTTCAAACATCCAGCAACTAATTTGGAACGTGCCAACACTGGATTCCGTACTCGCCATGGGGCACTGCTTCCCAATGATCAAGCTCAGAAAGGCGTTTCAACACTGACACTGCTAGCAGGGAGGACGATGTCTGTAGCCGCGCGTGCCCGTTCTTGCCCTTATGCACCCCCGAACTCGAATCGGCAGAAGATTATATACGTCGACCTGAATGAACTCAATCAGGATCAGGGAAGGTCCCTGCAAGCCCCCTTCATTGAAAGTCTCAGAAGCCCTGCAGGCTTTGCCACTGCCAGGAGCCCCGGAGCAGCAGCGACACAGCGCAGGCCTGCGAGATTGTAGAAGTGGAAGCCATTGCCCCAACCAACGCAACACGTAGACGCCACCCTTCCACACAAGACTCTCGACTGTGCCGCCTACAATGCTTCTAGCGAACACAGCAACGCCACGGTGCTGCAAGTTCCCAAGCGGCTAAGTTGCAGCGCATAGCGAGCGAAGACGCTTCTAAGTTTCAGGTCCGGAGTTGCTGTTCTAAGGGCCTCATGGGCCTCCCTCGTTGAAGCCCTTGAGCACCATCGCGGGGAAACAAAACAGGGGCCGTGGGAGCGCACTTTTCTGCTAATATGTACATATATATATATTTATTTATTTATTTTTTTTTTATATTTATTTATTTATTTATATTTATACACACATACACATATAATATATATATATATATATGTATATGCATATACATATATGTGTATATGCATGTCTGCACTGTATCCGCCGACCCCAGCTGGAGCGGGGGCGGCGTCAGTGAAGACCCATAGTGCTCTCCATTCCCTGAGTACGTTCCCGCGCATGCCCAGACCCCCGCCGCTCGACCCCTGGCACCCATGGCCTCAGCACGCCCAAACCCTCGCCGGTAGCCCCCAGTGCTCTGAGTTTTCAGGGCTCCAGTGCATGCCCGCTCCGCACCACATGCCCCCGTGGCCCATGGCCCCCATGGCCCCCATCATGGCCCTGCCGTACCAGGTGCCAAGGCATGGATTAGGGGGGTGTGGAAGGCTCGTGTGTTGGAACGCCTGGGTGTGGGGGGGAACCCCGAAAAACATTGCTTCGACAAGGGGTTGTTGGGGGTTGGGTCCAGCAGGAGGGGTGCGTCCGGCATAGGGCAGGGGGGTGTTGGGGGGGGGTGTGGGTGGGGGGTGGGGGCGTGTGCTGGAACTTGTTGGGGGTTGGGTCGAGAAGAGGGAGAGCAGAGAGCGCCCAACTCTCCTCTCACCCCCACCCCACTACCATTTCCGGTAGTCCTCTCATCACCCTCACCCTCTACCCCTCCCCTCCATTCCCGAAACCCTCCATCCCCAATCCCTGTTTCTGTAGCCCTGACCCCTGCTCCTCCATTTGTCCACTTACCACTGTAGCTCCTACTCCGGCCTTGACCAATCTCTTGTGTTTCGGGTGGTCCAACGCACGCCCGCCCTGACGCTCCCCCCACTCTCCCTACACATTTCACCACGACTTCGCCTGCAACGACGGTGAATTGGTGTCCACATTTCCACCCATTACTGCTGCGTCCCACCCCCCCGCCTACCCCCTCATGACACCACGCTCCAGTCCCCTCGTATCTTGTCCCCTGCTCCACTTATCTTCTCTCTCCCACCCCCAACTCTCCACCCGACCGCCCTCCGCCCCCGACCTGTCACTTTGACCCAACCCCCTCAACGCTCCCACACTCACACCCACCCCTCCCCCCCAGCCCCCACACCCCGTACTGTCCCTCACTCCCTACTTTTCTCCACTTGAAAACAGGGCGAGCGAAAGCTAGGGCACAGGTGTGAAGACCGCGCTGTTCAGTCGTGGAAGCTTTACGGACGAGAGGGTTCGGGCGTGCGAGTGTTGGGGGGAGACTTTCAAGGGTGTTTCAAATCTTCTCGAGCTTTGGGGTCACGGCTTTTTTGGTCGGCGCGGCCTCAGCATTGTCAGTGTGTCGGCGGTGGGAGCAACGCTCTATATGTCACGCGCAGCAGCCAGTATGGCTCAAGGAAAAGACTAGAAACAGATCGCAGAGGCTGCGAAGCGACAGCTGACAACCTGGTCGGCTGCAGGGGAGAGGCGGTTTAGCTAGGCACGGGGTCAAGATTGAGGGCCTAGGGTTCGGATGCAGAAACCCGAGCTGTTAGGCCTACAGTGGCAGCAGTCTTAGGTGTAGACATGTCTCAAATTGCAGGGCCAAGCTTGGGTTTGAGGGTTAAGGAGAGACGATGTAAACCCTGAAACCGAAACTTCCAGCAGTCACTCTCACACACAAATTCCCGATGTCTGCTGAGCAAGGCTTTTAACCAAAGGAGGCCAACCAAAGAGGCGAACGGCGAAGCTGGCCAGGTTCGACAGCGCTATGGCGGCCCCGCGGACAAAGGAAGGTGCAGCAGGCAGGCATACCTTGGAGACATCTCGGGGCAGTCTGTTGAGGTCAGAGCTGTAAGTACAACCTAGCAGGTAGGAGGCATTTGAATTCGAGTGGCTGGTTTCGGGGTTTCTCACTGGGTCTCGGAAGTCGTGCACGCATGCAGGTCTCGATCGGTCATTGGTTGCTTCTAAGTGTAAACTGTGCCATCGAGCTGACCCCGGGATCAAGGGAGATGCAACAGGCAGGCATATCTTGCAGCATGTGAGTACCCTGAGGCTAGAGCTGTATGTCTAACCTGAACGGCTACGAACCGAACAAGCAGGAGGCACTGCAACTTGAAGGAATGGGTTTGTGAATTTTTAAGGATCACGAAGGTTGCTCTACGATTCAATCGAGCACGGGCCGCCTTGAACTGTGCCAGCGGCGAGCAGCACCGCAGACATCGATGCGGTGCCTGAGCACAGGTTACAGGGTAGTGTTCGGTTTCAAGCTATGTGAGGTCAGGTTTGTCGGACTGTCGTTGTTGCTGCGGGTTGAGCCGCGGGCCTAGAGGCAGATGTCTTTGACGCAGTGTCGCACTGCTGGCACATCGTCGAGTCGCCAGCCGCCTATCGCAAGCAAAACAGCAGGACAGTCCTGCAGTTTCAGTGCCGACGAGGCGCTGCGTTTGAGCAAGCAGAAGTTCCTGAGTCGCAGCGGAAAAGGCTCACAAACGGTGGTGTGTCACTGGCAGCCGAGGCTCTGCAGAACTTGCACGCACTTGCAGGCGTTGATGGCGATGAGATCTCCGCCTGCAGGTCCTGGCAGGGGCTGCGGGGTGGCGCAACAGCAGAAGGCGAGCAGGGTGAGGGCTCCTGAGAGAGTTTCCAGCAGCGTGGCTCTCCTGGAGCACACGCACGGGACGTTCTGGAGCAGCTCCAAGACGTCGGTCAGCAGGTTGGCAGGCTCGGACCCAACCCACGTGCCAAACAGGCGGGAGTTGCTCCCGTTCCTCAGCTGACTGCCAGGCAGATAATCACAAGAACGAGCGACATGCCTGCATGTTTTTGTCAAGGGCGAGAGGCCAGCGACTGTGGGACTGGAAGTCGCTCAACCGTCGCAGTGCCTGGCGGTGCAAGGGTCGTCATGGCGCACGTCAGCTCCGCCTGAAGCGTGAGTCGGTAATGCGGCTCCAGGAGCCTGGGCGCAGGGAAGATGCGGCAGATGTCTTGCAGCCTCGGTTGGGGCGGTCGTGGCGACTATGGAAGGACAACCAGCAGGGCATGGGACGTTGTCTGCTTTGCAGCGATGCAGCTGTTCGGAGGAGATGAGCCACTTGCCGTCGTCGGTGTAGTCGGAGATTGCGAGGCGATTGCTGAGGAAGTGGCCGCAGAAACCGAGCACGTCGGCGAGAGATTGCTGGGAGACGTCTCGGTTCGGGTGGAGTATGTGGCCCTGCAGAGGAGCAAAGAGAAGATGCAAGTCCCGCTAACGGGCTACGTAGGGCAGACTTGTAGGACACACTGATTGAGCTTGCTCGTTTTACGGGGTCTCGAGCAGGACTCTGGCAGGAAGTCGCGTGTCGAAGAACATGCCTTGTCGGAGCGCTTGCCTCGAACTCGGCGCGTTGGCAAGAAGGCTTTGCGAGCTTGTCCTCCGGTTGCCTGGGCAGGAGAGAGGGAGACAGAGAGAGAGAGAAGAGAGAGAGAGAGAGAGAGAGAGAGAGAGAGAGAGAGAGAGGAGAGAGAGGAGAGAGAGAGAGAGAGAGAGAGAGAGAGAGAGAGAGAGAGAGAGAGAGAGAGAGACAAAGAGACAGAGAGACAAGGAAGGAAGGAAGGAAGGAATCGACCAGTGGCATACGGCCACGGCCTCCCGCACTCTTCCCCGCTGAGCATCTCAGGGGGTCTCCGCAAGCGTCATCGACCCCCTCCGCCAGAGGTTCCAGAGGGGGTACTATGGGTACTAGAAAAAAGAAACAAGGAAAAAAAACCGGAATTGGTCCAAGTGGGGGGTTTGGGGAGGGGTCTGGGCAGGAAGAAGGGTTGGGCGATGAGGCGGAAGCCTGTGATACGTGGACACTCTCATCGGACTGGAGCCAGGCTGCGAGGGAGGAGGATGTGTTACGGAGTGGCAGCCGAACGCGTTGGTCGGCGGCAGAGCATGCTGTCACCAATCCGACCAACTATCGCCGATAAAACAAGAGGAGAGGCGACTGAGGGCAGGAACCAGCGCATCCAGCGACTGGCGAAGATGCACCGGGAGCACAGTGCGGGGTCAAGGGAAGGCTGGTCGATTTTCTCAGTAACCACAAAAGGCGCCAAGAAGTGTTGGCTGGCGGTGCGCGTGAGGGTGCTTCCGGCACGTCGGTGGAGAGATTGCCCCAGCCTTGAAGGGGAACGAGCCAACGCCAGGCTGGGAGCACTGGCCAACGTGACGCAGCTACTTGAGCCTGTTTGCCTTGCACCAGCAGCGGCCAAAGGCGCAGGAAATAACGGACACCGGTGCAGGGAACCCTGATGTTCGAAGGCACTGGGCGAGAGGGTGGTCTTGACACAACCTTGGTCTGCAGAGAGCCACGCAAAAGACTCCCGCTGGCACACTAACCTCGGTAAAGGCATAGAGCGGGCAAGCCTCACTACAAAAAACGCAGAAGTGGCCCAGATAGGGGGCTTGGAGGCGAGAAGGCTAGTCTGCGCCAGAAGAGGGCAGCAGGAGGGGCAGAGAAAGGGGAGGGGGGAGGACTGAGGCCGGCCAGCAAAGCGAGCTTAAAGGCTCAGTCCAAAGGCAGGGCCGAATGCCCAGAAAGTCCGAGGTGAACTGCAGCACTCACTTGAGCCAGCCAAGGCGGCGAACAAGCCTGGAGGCTACACAACCAGAAACTGGGCCAAGGGAGACTGTGAGGCTGGCCAGCAAAGCGCAGCGAAAAGGCTCAGCCCAAAGGCAGGGGCGGA